TGAAAAGTGTGTTTCCCTTTCCTGTGTGCCTATGTGACAGGGGGCCCAGGCTGGTGCTGAGAGCTGGAGCAGAAAGAAGTGAATGGGGATTGCTGCAACATTGCTGGTAATTAATTGTTCCTTAAGAGGCTTGAGTATTCCCTCTGTCTGGGGGAGTCTTAAAAAAATGCCACAAGTGTTTGCAATTATTAGTAAACAGTCAGCTGCCTTTCAAGAAACCCTGATAATGGTGCTGTCTGTAAAAACGCAGCTAATTAAGTAAATAAGTGGGAAGTACGGGAGAAGAATGTGTTAGGAAGAGAGGATGGCTGTTGTTGGGCTCATCTTTTCTGTCCTTTTTATAAAGACATTCCTCAAACCAGTAAGTTCCAAGAATTTAAACCTCCCTTTGTGTTTTTGGCCCCCCCTGACAAACTGATTGGCAAAGGGAGGTTGTGCAGGGTAAATGCACTGCTCTCCTGCATCCTTGCCAAAGAGATGATAATAAATGTTTTATGATTCAGAGGAAAATATATTCAGATGCTTGAGATAACTCCCTTGGAGTTAGCAACCAGGATGCCTCATCACTGCTCCTTTAAATGTGCTTTGGGAGAGGAGTGGGGCACCGTGATTTCAGCTGGGGGTGACCGTGGTGGAGGTGATGGATTCCACTCTTCAGCACTCCAGATGCAGGCTGATCTGGAAAGAAGAAATGAAACAAGTTGATCTCCTTCCAAAAGTTGAGCTGGGAGAGTTATAAAATCCATTAGTATTAGAAGAAGCAGAACTAGATGGAGGCAAGTGTGATTTCTTAATTTAATGTATAGATTTATCATCAACAGAGCAGAGCAAAATAATGTGCTAAAAAGCAGAATCTAATGGACTTTGAAATTTCTGTATTTTTTTTTGCCACCTTTAAGAGAGCGTTTGAATGATTTGGCTATTTTATGAAAAAATATCACTGGAAAGTTAATTTCCAAGTCATGTGCATGAATGTTGATAGAAAACACAAGTTAATTTCAACACAGACGATTATTACTGTTGTAATTGGGGCCATTAGGAGCTGAAACTCTTGTCACTTTAGGTGCCTGGCAATAAGTAAACAACTGGATGTGAATGTGTGAGTGGTGCCTGAAATCCTCTTTTTGTGATGACCAAGCAGTGCTCTGCTCCAGCAGCCACCCAAAATCCCCCATGACTAGGGTGGAGGTGGGAAGTGGCCACTGGCTTGTTGCTTTTGGGACTTCCCAGGTGGAAGAGGCATGTCCTCGAGCTTTGGGATAACCTCAGTGGTGGGTGACTCTGCCCACGGACACTCTGTGGGTTTGAGGGGTTGGTGGCCTGTCAGTAAATCAGGTCAGGCTGGAGCTGCCCCCACAAACTTGGGTGAAATGTAAGGAAAGTCTGATTTTCCTGTGTGTGCACTGAAAGAGCACTGGGGGGTTTCCCCCATGGAGATGCTCAATAATGAGAGCAGCTTCAGTCTGGAGGCACATCTACAGCTCTGTGTTAGAGACAGGGAATGAGTATTTTTTTATTAATTATTTTATTTTCTTTTTTACTAATGTGCTGTAGGAACAGTTACAGTGCTCTGTCTTGATTTTTTTTTTTTTTTTTTTTTCCTGCTCATCCATTTCTGGGGGTGTATTAAACAACACATCTAACAGTATACAACAAAGTGCTTTGAAGAGGGTTCATGAAATACAGATTATGGTGGCTTTGCCTGGCGTGACAAGGAAATCCGTTTTGTTGTGCTTGTGTTTATATGCCTGTATACAGCTGGAACATCACTGCAAACACATATTATTTTGGCATTAATTTTAAAGAGCTGCTACAGCACATAGATGCCTGTTGCTGTGACAGGAGAGGAGCAGGAGGTGGCTGGGATGTGTTCCTGCTCTGTGTTGAGCTCAGGGACAGAGGGACTGGGAATCTCCTGTGACTCCTGCTCAGCTCCCACTTCACACACAGTTAGTTTAGTGCTTTTTAACTACCTTGGCAAATCAGACCCAGAACAATTATTTCTGCCCTGGAGAGGCTGGGAATTGCCTCATATGGCTGAAAATGGGGCATAAAACTTGTTAAGTAGCAGTTCACAGCATGCATTTTGGCCCTTGTCCCTCCCAGGTTTGGCTCCCTGGTGTCAGTGGGCCAACAGGAGCACCTTTGTGATTGTCCATGGCAGCAGCATTTCTCTCTCATGGCAGGAAAGCCTTTTTATCCTGTTAGTTGTTATTTACCTTGAAAAACCTGCCAAGAGCATCTCTTACCTCTCCGTTTTAAAGGATTCTCTGCGAAGGAATGGGAGGAACTGTCCCAGTCTTTCCTCCTGCAAGTGAAGGACCTAACCTGCTTTTCTCAAATACTGGCATCGCTTCCTCTTTTGTATTTTGAATATGACATAATTATTAGGTGCATCAAAAGCATTTATGGCAAAGCTGAGACAGAGAGATTAATGACTTGCTGTAATAATGGATTATTAATGATCCATGATTATGCCCACATTTGCTATGTGACTTGAGCTTGTTGTGCAGGTCAGAGCTCTCTCCTGCTCTGAGTTCTGTCTCTGCACCAACTTGCACTGCTGGTTGGGTACCAATGGAAAAAAATGTGCACTTCTGTGCCCCTCAATTGATGTGGGATAATCACTTTTAGTACGTGACTTGATTTGAGGCAATCTGTGACCAATTTTTTGTTGAAAGAAACTTTTCTTTTTAAGATGGACATTAAGTGCTTGGAATTGCTGTGAGATAAATTTAAAGGATCAGCATGATTTCTTCTAAATTAGCTTTAAAGGTGTTTTTGTTTGTTTTTTTTTTTTAATCCAAAAGAATTGATTACTACCCATATCAAAAACATGGGAGTAGTTACTGCAGTGGTTTGGCTGCACAAAATTAATCTCAGTCAAATAAAACTCACAGCCCTGGTTCACATCTGGGCTGGCTTCACCCCTGCCAGATCCTCTTGCAAGAACAGGTTCCAGGTGTTTCTGCCTCCTCACAGCAAACAAATGGCTGCATTAGCTTGCAGGAAACGTTTAATGGGTGTGCAACATGGAATATCAGTGTTGCAGTATCTAGCTTTATTAGCTGAGCTGCAGGAATTGTTTTCTGAGCTGTGTGGGTCCTTAGCAGGGATTGCAGAACGAAACAAAGGTATTTATTATCGGGAGCCTTAGGACAGGATAACACTTACCTGGCTGGAAATATGATCAGCCTCCTAATAGATACTGCTGTATTTAAGGAAGAAACGCACAAACCCATTTTTCAATTGCTAAGCAAGGATTTTTAGGTGTCCTGGCAGGCACAGGAATGTCCCTGGAGAGTTAGCACACGAGGGCTTCTCTGAATAAAACTCTATACATGAGCTAGGACAGGGCTTTGTATTTCAAAAAAAAAAAAGATGTGTCATCTCCTGGGTGCAGTGCTTCATCCTTCCAGTGTTCCCAGTCCACCAGAGCTTCCTGACATCCCAGTATGACCATATCTTTCCATCTTGGGCATCTCCCAAAATAGCTGTTGAAAATATTATGAATGAAACTGTGTTTAGGTGTGATTTACTCTAAGTGGTAAGGCTTTAAAGAAAATTTTAAAATTGGAATGGTCGTGCTTTTAAGTTAAGCCTCAAAATGAGATGGTAGCTTCTATTCTAAAACCTGAGTAAACCCAGCTGGTTTGTTTTTTTTTTTTTCTTTGACACAGTACAGTGAACATAGGTCAAATATTTCAAATTTTTAACTGTAGTGAGAATTTTGATATTTTACTTTTACCAGGTCATAGAAAGAAATAATACTCCAGTATTTCCTATGGTGGGTAGGCCCAATGCCTTTTTGGAGAAGCAGCTTTTTCAGTGGCTGTTCAGTTTTGGGCTGTGCTCATGAAAACACAACCCAAAAAATTGTCTGATCAACCCTTCACAGAGAGGCCACAGAGGAAACAGAGATTAGAATCGTTCCCATTTCCATTGAGAGGAAAAAAAAAAAAAAAAAAGAAAGGGAAGGGAAGGGGATATAGGAAATGAGCAGTCAATAATTGTACTACTCTGAAACCTAATTACTTTTGGTATTTATAAAAAGGACCTGCATCATTCAAAAGAGTATATTTTAGCCAATTTTACTGATTATGCCTCCAGTCATGGAGAGTTTTGTTTGTATTGATCTGAGCCAGAAGTGGATCAGAAATAAGAAATGCCATTTTTGTCCTGTTCTGCGTAATATAATGCCCATTTCAAAAATTTAGGTATACCCAGATTAATTTGCTCACAGATAAAAACAACCCACAAGCTGTTGTTTAAAGAGGAAAAGTTGAGTGCATTGAAACAGGCAAACCCAAACCAGCCCAGCCCCACTCTTGACCATTTAAGCATCTTTGAGCAAGCTGAGAAATGTGTGAAAAACAGATCATGTAAAATGCTGCTTCTGTCTTTGTTTCTCTCTTCTTTTTTTATTTTTTTTTGTCACTGCATGATACAACAGGCTGATGCACTGAGCTGAGCTGGGATTCTGTGGTGGCTTTGAACTGGGCTTCAAAATGTAGAACAGAGTGGTGTAATGTTAGAGGGTGCCCTTTGAAAAGTGTATTAAGATGGTGTTTCCTGATATGTCTTCGCTGTGCATTCAGCCAGGGGACTTGTGGAAAGACAACGTGTTTTTTCCTCTTGTTTCTCGTCTATTTAACTGCATAAAGCTGGGAAGAGTTGGGGTCTTAAGGAGAGTGATGGGGAAAACAATGTTGGGTGTCAGTCTTCTGCTCAGGTTGCTCTTGGCTTGTCCAAAATACTGTTCAGAGCAGTGAAAATGTTGGATTATCCAGCTCAGTCTGGATGCACAGGTCTCTCCAGCCTGGTGTCCCTCAGCCCATGATGGGAGTGCCTCTGCCCAGTGTCTGACTCTGGCTTTGCTGGGACCTGGGTTTAACCCTGTGGGTGCTGGGGTGCTGCTTGGCCTTTTTCCTGCATTTCTCCCTTTGGTGGTAAATGCCAGCACTTCAGGCCATTTGGTGGGGGGTGTTTAAATTGCTGAGATGATCGCAGGCTGTATTCCCACTTTGCTGTCTCTTATTAAAGTGTGACTTGCGTGGCCCATCCCTGCGAATCATTACAGATTTCTGATGCAGCTCCCTGTATCACTGTGTACAGACTTTACTTCCTGATGTGCTCCAGTGCCCCTCTCCCACACTGTCCTGACTGCCTGTGCTGTGTTTTTTTGCAGTTTGTGCTGGCACTGAGAACAAGCTGAGCTCCCTGTCTGACCTGGAGCAGCAGTACCGTGCCCTGCGCAAGTACTATGAGAACTGCGAGGTCGTGATGGGCAACCTGGAGATCACCAGCATTGAGCACAACAGAGACCTCTCCTTCCTGAGGGTAAGCAGCCTGGGCTCTCCTTCCTTCTGCTTCTGCATTTCGGGCAGCAGCCATGGGTGCTGGGCTGGGAAAGACCCAGGTAGTCCAGTCTCTCCCAGCAGCTCCACTGTGATGGGAGAGGATGGTAAAATGCCAGGGATGTGCAGAGAACAAGAGCAATGTCACTGCTGTGACATTTAGATTTATCATTTAGATTTATCCAGGACGTGGGGGAGAAAGCTGTGACACTGGAAGGTGACACCTTGCAGGTCTCTCACTTTTTGTGGTGCCAGCAGGTACAGGGCAGGTTAGGTGGGGTTTAGGGAGGCCAGAGAATCATGCAGATAAGCACTGGAGAAGCTAATCCTAATGGATATGGACTGATTTATAGACTAAGCAAGGGAATGTTTGTGGATCATTTAAGAAAAAGAAAAGAAGTGATTGCTGAATGAACATGAAGCCTTCTCACTGGAGCTATGAGCCAGTCTCCAGCATCCAGGGGAAGTCTGTGATAGATGAAAGCTGTACTGCTTTTGGGCAGCCTGGGTTGTGCATTCCCTCAGTTCTCTTTGCATCACATTTTGGATTTGTGAAGGAACATTTCAGTGTGGTTTGCAGATACCCTTTTGCCATGCTGGCAACCACGAGAGAGAAAGGTGAACATCAAGTTCAAAGAACTTAAGCCCGTTGTTATTTGGCATTTCACATTCTTTATGTTTAATGAAATATCCCACTAAAGGAGTGATCCAGGTGGGCATCTGAGGATGCTGCAGATGATGTGGCTGTAATATGGATAGGGCAGGCTGTGCCAGTGTGGTTGCAGTCTGTGCTGTGTTGTACTCTCCATGACACAGGTAAGGGTTTACACTGCTCGTGTTGCTCACCTGTACCTCTCAGAAATGCTGATGTCATGTTCCAGGATGCGTGTCTGTGTGCAAGGGGCATGTTCATGTGGCAGGAGCAGTGGAGCTTAAATCTGGCAGCAGGAAGAGGTGGTGGGAGGCAGCCCCAGCTGGTTGGCTTACACTCACTCCTTCCTTTTGCTGGGTCCTGGCTGAGCTGAGTGCTCCATTTCAGTCTGTAAAACTGTGAACTTTCCACCACGGCTCCTAGCAAAGGCAAAGCCAAGCAGCGTGTTCAGCTTTGCTTCGCATGGAATTTGTCAGGGATTTCACAGCCTTGCCACTCCATACATTGGCATATATTTACTCAGAGTGTACACCAGGCTGCTGAAAGGTCTGTGAGCAGAATTCAGCTACTAGACACGTCTGGAGTAAAGTTTGGGGTGCTAATTACACCCAGACTAACAGATTGCCTGTTAATTTGGGTGACGAATGCCTCGGAAGTAAATGCTATCCGTACATTTCACAGTTGTGACAGGTGGGGAAAACACATATGCTTTTGCTCTGAAATAGATACAGCCTTGGTGCAGCTGGACCACCAGACAGGTGGCAGATCCTCCTCCTGTGAGGGCAGGATCCCTGTTGCATCCCAGAGACCTGAGCTTTCTGTGCTTTCTGGCACTGACCCCCAGGAGAACACTGCTTTTGACTGAGGCCTTGGAGAAGGCTCCAAATTTGAGTGATGGAGTTAAAATCATGGGTGTGTAGTTAAATAGAAGTGTGTGATTTCACATGGTGAAGGGTTTTAAATTTGAGGTTTTTATAATATAGTGATAGGTATGGGACAAGATGGAGGATTTTGGGTGGTGTCTCTTTCAGTGCTCATCTTCCTTCTTGTTCATGGTTTCAGGCAGTAGTTTCTGGTTGGACAGTCAGTGCTGCACTGAGGGTCACAGGAATTTCATTATTGGGTCAAAAGTATAAATAATATAGGTGTTAATTCTCTATTGGACTGTTCAGCTTTAAGAGACCTTGTAGCGTCTGGATTTCTCTCCATTTTGCTCACTTTTAGCTGGTGGCTAGGAGTGTTGCTGAATTCTCTGTACTTTAGATAAGATTTAATAAACAACCAAGCCCAAACACGAGAAAATCCATTTCCTTCATGTATTTTTAAATCCTGCCTCTGAGTGAAGGCAGAAGAGACTGAAACAAAGCAGTGATTAAGTGGTGCAAAACTCCCACCACTGTTACAGATCCCTGCTCTGGCTGGGGCATCTCTGCAGTTTCAGATTCCTCCTGAAACCCCTGCCTGGGCCATCGTGGTGGCTCGAATTCATCACAGACAATCCTCACACTTCAGCTTCCCTTCCTCCTTATGCTGCCCGCTGGGAGGCAGGGAGAGCAAATTACTTGGAAATTAGGAATTAGCGTTCCTCGCAGAGGGCTGCCATAAGCAGCGTAAAATATTGGTGGAAAGAAGGCAGTAAAATCATCAAATGAGAACAAGAAGGAAAGGCCCTGTTCACTAAATGAAGGTGGTTTGGTCACCTGTGCTTTTTGGTGACAGCTACTATTGCTTTTTTATTAGTTTTATTACTTCTCTTACCTGCATCTGCTCCCTCGCAGATGTCTCAGCAAAAAAGCAGGACTTGAAACAAAACTCAGCAAACTGGAAGGCCTAGTTAGTATGATAAATTGTAGTCATTAAAGTAGAAAACCAAACAGAAGAGAACATGTTCTCGGTGAGGCAAATAAATAAATAAATGTTGGCACATTTACGCCGATAATTCGACATTCATTAGTCAGGCAGTATTACTCCTTTTATCATATTAAAAATTGTTTTAATGGCCAAGTGAAGGTGGCAGATGGGACATAACTAAGAGAAAAGCTGTTTGTCTCTCTCAGACTTAAATAGGGTGAATTTGCTGTGTAACATCACGCTCCTTCAGCCTGCCCCAGTCTTTTGGTCTCTGTTGCAGTAATTGCCCTCTTTCTCCATCAAAAATGAGATTATCTGTGCCCCCAGCTGACAGCAACCATGGCTCTGTGTGCCCACCTGCCTGTGCTCAGCTTAGCTGAGCAACTTCTTGCTCCAGGACAGAGGGAAGACCCACTAAGCTGTAGGCATGCTGGGTCTTTTCATCATGCAGTAATAAACAAATAGCATAAATGAATTGAAGTGAAAAAAAACCACATAATTTTATTTACCCTGCAGAGGAACATTAAAAGATCAGCATCCCATCTCTCATATTTATTTAGACATTTATTCCCTAAGTAGATTTGCTTTATGTCTGTGAGTTAGCTCTCTGGATGTCTGCTGATGAAGACTAAAAGGGGCTGTCTGTCACCTGAATGAAGTGCTCAGCCACTTAAACTTCCAGGCCTGTAGTTCATGAGGAGCTGGATTTCTGTAAGAAGGGATTGCACATGCCAGCTGGGTTTTTTTTTCCTGCTGTTCTTATATATGAGCAGAGCAGGACTACATATCGCCTGTGTTACTTTAATATATTTTATTTTGGTTCCTGGTTGTGTTATAGTCTTGGTATTGCTTTCCTGTGAGCAACTGCAATATGAACTTGTGTTCTGCACGTGCTGCCCTCCAGCTCTGCCAGCTCTGTTCCTGCTGATTACTGCTTCCCTATGCTGTGGCCACAATGGAGTTGTGGCAGAGGAAAGGAGCACTTAGTGGCAGGAAAAATTGTGTTTAAGCCTGAGTGTTGGGTCAGGAAAGATATTTCTGACATCTGTGGGCTGACAGCTGGCTTGCTTTATCCTTCTGAGGCTCAACCTACTGACAGAAAATGTAAAAGTGGTTATTCAGTTTTTGAAGCCCTACCTGTGCCAGCTTTGGCAGTGAAATGAGGTTGAGGTTAATGCAGTGCCACCTCCCTGTCACAGCCAAGGCAGGCTCTCCTCTGCCACAGGGGCTGCCAAGAGCAGGACTGAGCTGAGCAGGACAAATAATGGGGTGGAAAACAGTCCCTGGGAGCTCCCTTGTCCCTGTGGTGTGTCCAGGCTAACCCTAAGCACTGACAGTGCCCCATGTCCCACTGCTTCCCAACTGAGCAGGGACAGTGCCCCATGTCCCACTGCTTCCCAAGGCACCAGCATGCTCCTCCTAATTGCCCAGGCCAGGCTTCTGCACCAGGATTTGCTCCACGAAACCAGATAAGCTGCTGGAGCTGGTGCGAGTCTTGAGACGAGATTTACTTCCCTGCTTTGGACTTCAGGAAAAAAAAAAAAAACAACCTTGAGAAAAGCTCAGATTGTTCACTGGTTCATATTGCAAACAACTGTTAGAAGAACAGAAGGGGGAACCTATTTTAGTTTTGCTTGGCATGGCTGGCAGTTCCTATTGTGGGCTGTACTTATTTCTTAATAACGTCTCCATATTCAATTTTCAAAATAAAATAGACAATTAGTGTATCACATAACAATCTTCTGCAAGTACTTCTGTTAAACACATTTGGTAAATGAGAGTTATCTTTGACTAATCCCCTGGCTTTTAGCAATTCACAGTCAGTAAATTGTCTTCCTGTGCCTGGATTCTATTTAACCAATTCAGATTATTTATTTTTAAAGACATGATCAAAGTTCTGTGCTTTTCCCTGCCATAACTCTCCCAAGTGATAATGAAACTAATTTTTAACCACAATCAACAGTCTTAAAAAATTATCTCCCACTGCTTTATAGGTTCTTTTTTTGTGTATCACCTCCAGCCACACTTGCAGGGTAGCTGTCTGACATTTAAGGGGGTGGATGTTTTGTGGTGAATATTACATTTTTGAGATGTAGGGCTCCATCTCCCCTCTGTTAGCACCCATGGCCACATGCTTGGTGAGAATCCCTGCCAGCCCCATTGTAGCCCATTCCTTACAGTCACATTTAGACTCTGTGGCAGGTGGGATTTGGCCATTTGGACTTTAACTTCTTTGCTATTGGTTGTGTTTAATCTTTGAAGGAAGTTTTGGTGAAACAGAGTTGGGTTGCAAAGCATGCTGCCTTGCCCCACGGCACTCAGAGCTGCTGCTTGTTAAATTAAAAACAGAAATACAGGGTTTTAAAACAATTTTTGGTCTTTTAGAGAAAAATAGTGCTAAGCAGACCTTTTTGAAAGCTCTGGGGGCAGAGCTGGGAGGAGATGCTGGCACAGAGAGAGTCTGTACCTGAGCAGAGGTG